GATTGGAATATAAAATGGCTGTACAGAAGGAGGGCTCCCTCTGGGGAGGTGGGTTCTCAGGTGGTAAGTTTGTGTAAGGCTTCTGTGAGGCCAGAGAGGAGGAGAACTTGGTTTTGGTCAGGGCCTTGAGTGATTTCATTAAGTTTGTCATAATTGACCGCCTTATGGGCAGCCTTTCGACAATGAGACAGGCTACAGAGCCAGTGCCCTGGAGAACTGAGCTGATAGCGCCATCTGGGTTGGCCACCGAGTCCTGTCTATGGAGGGCACAGCATGGTCCTGAGCTGCTAGTCAGATGTGCTCCTTCTCCTCTGGGGTGAGCGAGGACGACAGGATGACTCAGATGTCATGCCAGGTCAGGCCATAGGACTGGGCCAGGTACTTAACTTCCTTAGTAAAGGTGGTTGAGTTGGTGAAAAAATACCTGAGATGCCTCTCAATCTGTGCAAGGTCAGACATGGAAAATGGGATGTGTTCCCAGCCAATACCCTAAGTTTCTGCTCCCTCCCTCAGGGGTAGAATGGGTCTAGGAATAGAAGCAGCTGTTGTGGAAGGCAGTCTTAGGGTGGCCCGAGAGCAAGTGTTAGGTGGAAAAGGCTGTATTGGAGGTCAAGTTCTTGGGATTTCGGCTCAGGGGCTGGGGAGAAGGTGGTTGCTGGTTAGGAGGGTCTGGATTTGGGAACCTACTGCAAGTGAGGGAAGGGTTGTGTAAGAAGATGGACGCTCATGGTCTGCTGGGTCAAAAGTACATTCAGCATCGGAAATGTTAGGGGTATGATGTTTTGTGTGAAGGAGAAAGGTCTAATGGGTACAGCAGAACTGAGAGAAAGGATTGAGACTGAAGAGTGAAAAAGGCCCATACGTAGGGAATCTCTGACCATTTTTTATTGCCATGACAGAAATTATCTAAATTTTGCAATGTGTTAAAATTAAAAGTGCCATTTTTAGGCCATTGGGACTTATCATCTAGTATATTGTGGCCAAACAGTGTTACAAAAAAAAAAAAAAATGAGGTGGTTGGGCACGATCTCCCCCGTGAGTGTGCCGAGGGAGTGTGGCGGGGCCCATGAGAGAGGAAGGGTGAGTGACAGACCGCAAACCCAGAGGTGACTAGGGCACGCATCCCCGCAGCTAAACAAATCACCATGGGAAATGAGAGATGACCTTCTGAACTTGGTGCCCCCACTCCAGAAAGACCCAAAGCTAAATGGCTGAGGAGTCTTCCTTCTGGCTTAGCGCTAGGACTTTTACGATGAGAGACTTTCGAGAAGTTAGTTTGAGAGAGTGGGTAGAAGACTCGAGATGAGTGAATTTGTGGATAGTCACTCACCTAGAGAAGATGGGCCGGTGTGGGATGGAGGGTCAGCAATGGAGAAGGAGAGATTCCTGATCTGGCATAGTCATCGGCTGGCTCAGGATGGTTGATAAGGGAGGGAGGTCTAATTGAGGCCTGTAATTGAGTCACCCGAATAGAATTTAGAGGTAAGCCCAAGTTGAGCTGCCACTGCCTACTGCTCTCGGAGTAGCAAACTTTGGGTGACCAAAGCAGAGCGATGGTTCCCCATCCCCATAGAACCCTCCCATGTTTTGCTATCAAATGTTAGGGTCACCGAAGGCGGGATCGCACAAGGCAAGAAAGGGTAAAGAATTATGAATATATTAGGTCATCAGGATACCAGATGGGCTGAGCCCCAAAATGGCACCAGCACCCAAAGATGGGGAGCCAGATTTTTAAAGGAGTCTAGACTAGGCTTTTTCTGGTCAGAGAATTCTCTGTTTAGGTCTGCATTCTGGAAAATGCTGGAGGGAAGAGATAACAGTCTTAGCAAGTGGAATGTGGTCCAAGCAAGTAGAATGTCCATTGTGAAATGTCATAAAGGTAAGTTCCCAGGGGAGGGGGTATCTATTCAATTATTTGATCAGACCTAACAATAGATGGTTGTGAAAAAAGGGGGGGAACATTTTCTGATTTAGGGTTCTAACTTTAACTATCACTGCTCAGAGGAGGAAAAGACTAGAAGACAGAGGACAGCAGCTGTGGACAGGAAGGGGAAGTCCTGTAAATGATAAGGTAAGTGGCAAGAGTGAGCACTGAGAACTGAGCCCTGAGATAATACAGGCATCTGAAGGTCACCTGGCGTTTGGGCTGGGCAAGAGTATAGAGCAGCCTTACCCCCTAGATCAGGGGTGGGCAAACGTTTTGACTCGAGGGCCACAATGGGTTCTTAAACTGGACCGGAGGGCCGGAACAAAAGCATGGATGGAGTGTTTGTGTGAACTAATATAAATTCAAAGTAAACATCATTACATAAATGGGTATGGTCTTTTTTTTTTTTTTTTTTTTTTTTTAGTTTTATTCATTTCAAACGGGCCGGATCCGGCCCGTGGGCCATAGTTTGCCCACGGCTGCCCTAGATCCTGGCGGTGTTTGCCAGGCTCTCAACAGACCATTTCCTTTCCACAAATTCCTGCAAATGCTGAATCGATTAGGTGTACAAGGTTTGTGGAACTTATTTCAGGGCCTCACACACTTATGTCTTCTTAGATAGTAAAGTCCTGGGACTGTCAGCCACTCTTGTAGCCTTTGGACCTGGGGACTTTGAACAGACACTAAGCCCAGAATCCTAAGGCCAGGACCAGGGCTTCATGACGTGGACCTTGTTTTTAGCAACCAGTGTAATGAGTGGGAGGACTGCCAGGGCATAGGTTCCAGAATGTGCAGAGGCTTGGAGTGAAAAGTGAGCTGATTTAGGAACCCGCAGGTATGTTTTTTAAATATATATATACTGAGTGGTCAGATTATTATGTGTTCAGAGATCATAATAATCTGGCCACTCAGTGTATATACTATACACACACACACACACACACACACACACACACTCACACACTCTGAGTGGCCAGATTATTATTGTGCATTCAGAGATCATTTGAGAGGATCTCTGATTAAGATCTGCAGTAATTTAATGTACCGTTGCCCTTCTGTTGTCTCGTACCAGTCTTGCCACTCTCTGTTCTGCCCTAACATTGCCTATTCACTGATGGCCACAATTCGCACGTTCAGACCCAGATTTTCAGCTGACAGTCCAGTGTTTAAACACTTTATCAACAGCTTCTCTGGAACATTTAATGAATTCAGCTGTTTTGCTGATACTCGCTCCATGGCTCCAAGTGCCAACAATCATCCCACGTTCAAAGGCTGTTAAATCGCGTTGTTTACCCATATCTTTAGAAAAAAATCACTTCTACTGTCATGGCAAACAAACTTCTTCCCTATTTATAATGGTCTGGCCCTCTAGCAACTTCAGTGTGAAAGTATAGCTTATTTGCCTACAAATGTCAGGTGATCATAATAATCTGGCCACCCAGTGTATATATACTGATTTTAGATATAGAAAAGAAGGGAGAGGGAGAGAGACAGAGAAACAGTGATGAACAAGAAACAATGATCAGTTTCTACCTGTATAACTCCTATTTTGGATCTAGCCCACAACCCAGGCATATGACCTTGCCAGTGCATGGGTCTATGCTCAACCAGCTGAGACACATCAGCCAGGACTGTAGATCACTTTCATACAGGGAATCATGGTCAGGTTGGTAATGGTAGTATTAGCTCAGAAGGGACAGTGTGAGCCTGAGGACTGGCTTTCCTGCTGTAGCCAGTATTTGTGGGTCACAACACAGCATAGGGACAGACGTTGTCCTCTACAGTGTCAGGGAGAGATCATAGTTTTGCAGTGGCCAAGACCTTTAACAGATGAGTAGACCTGAGATTAGTTTGGAGGCGGAAGAGTTATTGAAACAAGATTAGACTAGGGCTGGTACATATTAACTTCTCTAAACACTCACCAGGATTTTGTTGTGGTCTTTGGTGTGGCCTGTATGTGAGGAGTTAGAGTCAGTCTTGTGGATTACTTAGAGGTTTGAGTGGTCATCTGTGAGACTCACTAGGCATGGAACAGAGAGCCATCGGGGCTGGGACTTGAGTGGTGTTTAAGTGAGAGATGTTAGCAAGCATCCTCTGGACAACACTTGATAAGTAATAAGTCGTTAAGGAGAGGACTATGGGGGCTGGGGCTAAGGGAGTGCAGGTGTGAGAGAGGTGTGGTAAAGAGTGATTTGCACTTGAAGAGGGAATGTGAATTCATGGCCACAGCACCCTGACATTGACATAAGAGTGAATGACCAGAAAGCCCATTTCTGGTGGTGTCTGGATGATCCAGTGAGGTGAATTTTAGGGCAATTGCCTGTAAAGAGGATTGATTTGGCACTATATTCAAGGTACAGAGCTTAGGTGCCATTTAGCTAACCACCTGCCTTTTGTTGTTGGGGATGACACCCTGGATAATAGGAGTGAGTAGCATACATCAGTGTTACCCAGGCTTCAAAATCTCCACTGGAATGGGTAAGGAGAAAGGTAAAGGGTAAGAGATTATGGAGATGGTGAACTATAACTTTGGAAAAAAAGGTGATTAGGAAACAAATTTGCATTACCTTTGACGTTGTGCTTCTGTGAGTGAAGCTGTGTGAGAGAAGGGTTGTTCAAAGAACTCTGTGCAACAGGCAGTGCAAAGCTATGGCCATGGCACCTTGCAATTGGGGTCAAGAGGGTGCAGTGTGATGCCATGTATTTGGCGTCTTTGAGAAACAATCTGAGGGTATTGACTGACAAGACCAGTATCAAATCACTCACAATATCTTTATGGCCAACATCTCTCTTTCACCTATGGTTTTAACAACCACTCTGTTGATAAAAGTCAGTGTGGCGTACATGGGAGGTCCAGAGCTCAGAGGTCTTATCTGCTCAAATGCCTTTATTAGAGTAGGAAGACAAAATGTCAGTATAAATATAAGAAAACAGTGGCTTTCATAGGATGAAGGCCCGGTATTTTCTCTGGAGTGGACAGAGCAGATGGGTGTGGAGGGTGGGAAGTATGACAGACGTAGAATCTTAGGAGTGAAGCTGATCATGGGCTTAACTGTCCCTATTATGACAGGATATGAACTTTGAGGACGTGGCCATTGTATTCTCTCAGAAGGAATGGGGGCTCCTTGATGAGGCTCAGAGACTTCTGTACTGCGATGTGATGCTGGAAGTGTTTGCACTTGTGACATCTGTAGGTAAGACCTTCACTTTTTCCCAGTGTCCTGAGGTGATGCCTTCTCCCTTTATTCCTCAGGCATAGTTTTCTCTCTCCCACAGCGAGAACATGGCCTCTGCTAATTTTCCCACTGTCTTGTCAAATGAGCTGGATGGTGAGTCCTGAGCAAAGGACTCCACGAACATCCCGCTAACGCCTGTTACCTCAAAATGTACAGGAAACAGAAAGTTAGGAGTCTTGCAGTGAGCTTAATGGGTCCCAGCTTGCACTTTCTCTTCATGGGAGTATCCACATGCATGGCTGACAGTATCCACATGCATGGCTTCAACTTCTGCCATCTTTCTCTAGATAAAGGTTCTTTGTGGTGACCTGTTACATGTTATGGTATTTACTTACATGAACAATAGGCTGTTCCTGGGAGACCCTCAATCAATTGTTTGTTATATTCTCTTCCCTGAATACTATAGCAAGCTGTGTTGCTCTGGACCAGTGCTGACTGTTCACCTCTTTGTCACCTGTTCCTCTACACTGGTGCCTCTGCAGTATTCTGCAACATTGACTTGCACCTGTGTTATGAGGTGCATGTACGTGCTAATTAGTCCTCGAAACCGGCTACTCCTTTATTGAATTTTACTTGGAGTAAGACCTAACCAATCTCTTGCACAGCTTGTCCCCGTCCCAGCAGACAAGCCATGCTAAATGCTGGTAGTTGAAGTATTAGCTGGAAATCCATATTCTAATCCATGTGGTGCTTGCCATGTTTTTTGTCATATTTCTGGTGAGGCCTCTCTGTGTTGTAATCTTCATTAGCCCAGAAAGAGACAAGAGCCTCTTATTAATCCTTCCTGCTCATCTCTTATTTTCACACAATTGCATGGAACCAACGTGTGATGTGTGACACACTTTTGTAATGGGGCTTCCCCCTGTCACCACATTCAACATTCATTTCCTTACCCTTTCTCACTTTTCAGGTTGTTGGCATAAAATCAATGGTGATGAGGTCTGTTCTGTATTTATACAAGGAGAGTCGCTGGTCAGGGCTTCTAAGACAGCTCCAAGCACCCAGAAGATTCCTCTTTGTAAGCGGTGTTTCTCTGTGTTAAAAGGTATTTTGCACCTGTCTGGTTCACATGCAGCATACTTTGAGCAGAAAGCCTTCTGTAGTGACACACGTGTTGGAGACTTCTGTTTCAGTGCAAACCCTCACCAGCAACAGAGGAATGAATGTGGAGACGAGCCCTGGAAAGAAGCTATGCACAGGGCTTCCTTTGTGAGCAGGTGCAGCTTCTACTTATATTCGGTGCCTTCACCCAGCAGGGAGGTTGGGGAAGACTTGCAGTACAACTCAGAGCTTCCCAAGCACCAGGCCACTCTCAATACTGAAGAGCTACACTGTGGCAGTGAAATTTCCCAGGAATTTCACAGTGGAAAAAGTCATCACCAGTGGGGTGAATGTGAAAATGCTGCCAGCCACAACCTGAAAGTTGTTCAAAGTCACGGTGACTGTTCTGGAGAACTGCTTTATGAGTGTAACAAATGTAGGAAAGTATTTAGACGAATTTTTAACCTCGTTCAACATAAGAGAGTTCACACTGGAGAAAAGCTGTATGAGTGTAGAGAATGTGGGCTGTCCTTTCCTCTAAGGGCTCACCTCACTAAACACCTCAGAGTTCACACTGGAGAGAAGCCATATGAGTGTACTGAATGTGGAAAGTCTTTTACCAAAAAATATATACTGAATAGACACTTCAGAGTTCACAGTGGCGAGAAGCCATATGAGTGCAGCGGTTGTGGAAAGTCCTTCAGTGATAAGGCTGCCCTCAAACAACACCAGAGAGTTCACTCTGGAGAAAAGCCCTATAAGTGTGGAGAATGTGGGGTGTCATTTCGTGTAAGGTCTCACCTCACTGGACACCTCAGACTTCACACTGGAGAGAAGCCATATGAGTGTACTGAATGTGGGAAGTCTTTTTGCCAAAAATACAACCTTACTAAGCACCTGAGAGTTCACAGTGGCAACAAGCCATATGAGTGCTGTGATTGCGGAAAATCCTTCAGTGATAAATCTTACCTCAAAGAACACCAGAGAGTTCACACGGGAGAGAAGCCATATGAGTGTGCTGAATGTGGGAAGTCTTTTAGCCAAAACTCCAGCCTTATTAAGCACCTGAGAGTTCACAGAGGCGAAAAGCAATGTGAGTGCCGTGATTGTGGAAAATCCTTTAGTGATAAGTCTTACCTCAAACATCACCAGAGAATTCACACAGGAGAAAAGCCCTATGAATGCAGAGAATGTGGGCTGTCCTTTCCTCTAAGGGCTCACCTCACTAAACACCTCAGAGTTCACACTGGAGAGAAGCCATATGAGTGTAATGAATGTGGAAAGTTTTTTAGCGAAAAATATAAATTTAATAGACACTTCAGAGTTCACAGTGGCGAAAAGCCATATGAGTGCTGTGATTGTGGAAAGTCCTTCAGTGATAATTCTACCCTCAAACAACACCAGAGAATTCACACTGGAGAAAAGCCCTATAAGTGTGGAGAATGTGGGATGTCGTTTCGTGTAAGGTCTTCTCTCACTGGACACCTCAGAGTTCACACTGGAGAAAAGCCCTATAAGTGTAGAGAATGTGGGATGTCGTTTCGTGTAAGGTCTTCTCTCACTGGACACCTCAGAGTTCACACTGGAGAAAAGCCATATGAGTGTACTGAATGTGGGAAGTCTTTTAGCCACAAATCTAGCCATATTAAACACCTGAATGTTCACACTGAAGTAAAGTATTAAATGTGCAGGGAATGTTTTCTTTTTCTCACTTAGTATAACAACGCTGAAGGCGACTCTTTGGGACCTATTTTTCTGAATATACACCCCATTTAATGGAACATTCACTGTGATATATTCCTCATCAGTTTCAAGTACAAGTGAGGCTTGAAGGAGCTCCATTGTACTTGCTAACATGCCCAGACCTACTGCCCAATTGATGTCACAGCGAGCATCTGTGGCTGAAGAAATTTCACTTCTACCACCTGGCTCACCTGAAGAGTGTGCATCAGTCACAACCTCTGTGTGCTCAGGGGAAATGTATTCTGTGTTCTCACTTGTGCTTGAGAAAATCATGATTACTTCAAGCTCTTGACAGGATCTTCCTTCCTTTCTGACTAGGGAATGCTTCTGACCCAGGGTTTGTCCAGAGCACCCATCATCAGCTAAGGAGTGCTGCCACTTTCAGGGACATTGTGGGTTTCACATTATGCTTTTAGGAATTGTTTTACTTTCTAATTCACCAAGCTGCAAATTGCTTACTGTCCTCTGTTCTGATTTAGTAAAGATGTTTTTTTCTTTCGAGGCTTTATTTATTATTTTTTAAAATCTCACTGTCTGGATGATTTGATACAAAAGTTGTGATCTATCATCATGGCGAGATGCACAGATATGGTGGGGTCCCACAAACTTTCTGTGCTTTGGAAAGTTATAATAATGTCAGAAAAATCAGTCTTTGTCCAATAATGGCTTATTTTATACCACTGACCAAGGCAATGAAAGAAAGTTTGCATAACTTTGTGGTTCCAATTTGCAGCCTGGTGCCTCTAATGTTGGTGAGGTCAGTGGTCCCCCAGAAGAGGAGTCCTTTTTTGTGCTTCTATCATTGTTCTCACATTATCCTCTGATGGGTCATTTTATGTTCCAATTCACCAAATTACAAACTGCTTGCCATCCTCTGTTCTGGTTTATGATCTTTTTAGTAAAGGTGTTTTTTGCTTTTGTACCTTTAATTTTGTGGGTTATAGTCACTGCCTGGGATGATTTGAAAGGATAGTTGTGATCTGTCAGCATGGAGAGGGGAACAATATGGTGGGGTCCCAAACTCTATGTGCTTTGGAAGGCACATAATAATGGCAAAAATCCCTCTTTGGTCCATATTGCTTTATTTTCTATTGCTGACCAAGTCCTTTAAGGAAAATCTGCATGACTTTTTGGTTCTAATTTTTTAGCCTGGTGCCTGTATTATTTGTGAGGTCAATGATCACCCGGAAGAAGAGTCCTTTGTTATGCTTCTGTGAACAATATGAGTTATATTCTCTACTCATAGTATGTCTTACATACTGCACAGGAGCCCTGTGCCATGTTGTGTGAAATATCACAGGCTGGTTTCATTTGTTATTACACTGTGAAGTGCAATTAATATTGGGATAAACACTGTTTTCATAGTGAGTGGAAGAGATGGCAGTATAGTGGATGAAAATTGCCTCTTCTGAACATTATCCATAAATGACCCAGTCCTGAAGCTTGTTTGTTCTTTTTGTAGCTGAAGTGATTGGTTGCAAAAAGAATCTCATGGTTTTAGGGATTCCCTGGGCCCCTCTATGGTGTTCACCTCAAGGTTATCACAACAGTCAGGAACTCAAAGCTAAAGGAAGGATAATCGTATAATTAGTCCCAGGTTGTGTGTTTTGTGACAATTCGGCATTCCTGATCATTCTGATGGCAGTAGTCTTCACTTCTAGACAGTATTTGCTGCCACAGAGGCAACAATGATTCTCTCAAGAAATAAGGAGAGAGATGGTTATGTCTATATAGAGTTGCCATCTTAATTTTCTAACAACAGGGATAGCTATGTTTTTATTTGGAACCACAATTAAGGCTTTACTGACTATTTGTACTGGGTAATAATGGTGAATTTTGTAGTCAAAGAAAACACGATAATTTTAAGAGAAGTATCAAAAGTGTATGAATTTCATCAACCAGGCCTTTAGTGTTATATATTTTAAAATATATTTTTATTGATTTTTAGAGAAGGGCAGATGGAGAGAAACATCAATCTCCTGCCTCCTGCATGCCCACTACTGCACATCGAGGCGGGCATGTGCCCTGATCTGGAATCAAACCAATGACCTTTCAGTGAATGTGATCATGCCCAACAATATAAGACACAGTAGCCATGAGAGTTTATACTTTTATTATTTATTTACCGTTGTATTATTTTCAATACTAACAACTCTAAACCTAGTTTTACATACCCTGTATTTACTTCTTGCCCTTTTATACTCTTCTGGATTCTCTACCCTCCATACAGCCATTGATTTACCTCCTCTTATGATAGAGTAGTTCATATTTTTCATAATTTTATAGGCACTATATAAGGTGTATAATTTTTAACAAACTATGACTTCTTTCTTGCTACACAGGTATTTTTAGATTCAACAGTAATGTTTATGTAAATAGTTAATTTTTTATTGCTAATAATATTGTATTCTATGGATAACCACTTCATCTATTGATCTGTCAATGGTTTCGTTTATTTCCAAATTTGGGGTTTTATAAATAAAACTGCTGGGAATATTGCATTCAGTTCTTCCTACAGGTGTATGTTTTATTTATCTAACTGTTGCAGTGTCGGTGAATGTGTTACATTTTAAGATATGCACATCTGTGATCTAAAATGGTCATTCCCTTTGCCTTCCCAGCCACCCACAGTAATGAAATTTCCAGGTTTTACATTACCTGCCAGCACATGTGATGGTTATTTTTTTAAATAATAGGCCAGGCGATGACTATACTGTTAACTTGGTTTTTTTAAATAACATTTCCCTAACAATTCTTTGTTTTAACATATATTTTATTGATTTTTTACAGAGAAGAAGGGAGAGGGATAGAGAGTTAGAAACATCAATGAGAGAGAAACATCGATCAGCTGCCTCCTGCACACCCCCTACTGGGGATGTGCCCTCAACCAAGGTACATGCCCTTGACTGGAATCGAACCTGGGTCCTTTCAGTCCGCAGGCCGATGCTCTATCCACTGACCCAAACCGGTTACGGCTCCCTAAGAGTTCTTGATGGTGAGCATTTCTTCTTGCATAATTTACACTGTCTTTATCTCCTTTGTTAAAATGTTTGCTCAGGATCCTTTGCCTACTTTTTAAGTTAATTTATTATTCTTACCAATAGGAGGACAGTGCAACATCTAAGACATGTGTTTGAGTTTCAGTCCTTCCTCACTGACTCAAGTGACTTCTTTGCCATATGGAACCATTGGTTTTTAATTCTAGAAAGAAAATTGTTTTTCTCAACTTTTATCCTATGGACAATTAATAGCCACTCATGCCATACACTTATAAGTTTAACCTGCATTATTAATATTCTCCACCAGTGTTCTTTAAGTCTAAACACATTAAGTGAAGTCTAGGTTTGTAGTATTTCTCAATTTCCCTGGTGTAAATACTCTCATCATCACCAGGTTCAAACTGGCAAAATAATGACATGGAACATGGACATGAAAAGATATTTCAGAAGTACATCGTTATATTCTTTTTTCAGCATACTGATACAGTAGCAATGAAAGTGCTCAAGAAAATTTATAATGAAACAACTGAATTATTGGGAAGTGGCAAGTATTAAACATTTTTAAAAGTTTGATATGAGTGTAATTGATTTAAAGCACACATTTTAACAACATATATATTAAAATAGTTTTTTATTGATTTCAGAGAAGAAGGGAGAGAGATGGAAAGATCAATGATGAGGGATAATCATTGATCAGCTGCCTCTTGCATGCTCCTACACTGTGTATCAAGCCTGCAGTCCTGGCTTATACTTTGACCAGAATCTAACCTTGACTTCTTGGTTCTTAGGTTGTACTCAACCACTGAGTAATATTGGCCAGGCAAAAACACACTTTTTAACAAACACTTTTATGTTTCCATACATACATGACTCCCTGAAACCAAATCCTCCCCTTTTCACTGCTACCTGATTGGCATATGATATTACTGCGGCAAGGACATAATCTACCTTTGCAATAGCATATTTCAAATATATCCATATGAAGAAAACACTTACAAAACTTCATAAATTTTAGTCTAGTCTTCCATCTCTCTCTGTATTCTATCTCACTCTAATCAATATATTTGTGTGTGTTTTCACCAAAAGAGTCAACACATGTGAACACCATTCAGACCAGGCAGGGACCCTGTGGTGAACCAGGGTTCTCATGAGGGCAGACACAGTGAGGGAGAGAAGAGGAGGGGAGGGGCCCTGCTGTATAGGTGTGGAGGGTGGGGAACTGGGGCTGAGCTGCACAGTCACCCACAGGTAATTATGACATCTGTGCTCCCTGAGACTAACCCCTAGGGGGCTGGGAAAAGCTCTGGGCCTGGACATGGGTCTTGTTGTCTCAGGACCTTCCAGCCAGGGGTTGAGACTGGGCTATTTTGGATTCAGGTGGTTGAGGAGACCAGATCCCTCCCAGGTGTTCCGGATCAGCTCTTGATACTTGAGGCCCTCAAATCAGTGCACCTACATCTGAGCAGCCCACACACACTCCTGAGCCCCACAGGCATTGTTGGAATCTCTCTATTTTTGCATTTCTGGGTTATTTTCCACTTTTATTTCATTAAAAATACCACCACCTAACCAGTCCTGGAGGTACCATGGATTCTTCAGGAAATGGTGCTGTGTATTTTCAATGGTGAGACCATTCTGCAGTACATGCATTTCCAGAAGGGGAGGCTTGGTCTCAACATGATACCACATTGGGAGATGCATTACAGGTGGTCTCCACCCTCCATAAGATTGGCCTGTGCTGAACAGACCCTTGCACCTGAAGTGCGGTGATGGAGCCTGGACTCTGAGGGACAGTATACTGTGAGATGTGAGGTTGAAGGGGACAGAGAGGGTAGGCCTGGGACAGGATTGGTGATCGGGTTTCCTGCCAGCCTATGGGGAGGGTACACTGTGTGTGTGTCCTGTGGCACTGTCTGGGTGGCTCCAACTATTTGTTTCTGTGTGTGTGTGTGTGTGTGCGTGCGCGCGCGCGCGGGGCTATGTGTGTGTCCGTGTCCCTCAGGGTATCGCCCATGTCAACAGCGCAGGTCTGTATAAACCTAGACATAAGCCCAGTACCTGAGTGCCCAGCACAGGCTGGCAGTGTTCTGCACCTGTGTGTTTCTGTGCTTGGGTTATCTGTATGTTTCTCTCTCAGTCCATGCACCCCCACAACCGGCAAGTGCATAGGCAATCTCCTGAGAGGTGTGTTAGAGGCACCTTCCTCTAAATCAATATGTTCCTCTTACCAACCCCCAGGTGAGCCCCTTCTTCTACCAGAAATCTGGTGTCCCTCTGGAGGTCCCATCTCAGGTCTCAAGGATGGATTAAGCATGGGGTCAGTTCCGAGAAGTCCAGGCTGTGGGAAGGTGGGGAGCTGGGGAAGGCTCTGATGACAAACAGGAGATACAGAATGTGGATTGGGAACATTTGTGAAGGACACTAGTCTTTGTGAAGGAGTTGGAGGATCCAGGACCCTTGTGAATGAATATGAGGATGAGTTCTTGTGGGGAAAAGCTGAGGGGGAAGATTTCTAGGCTCCTCAGTCCCCATTGGTAATGAGGAACTGGACATCCCAGGAGAGGGGTGTCTCTTGCTATGTCAAAGCTAGGCTGACAACTAATACAGGAAGTTGCATGGGGCTCCGTAGAGCATCACTCCTGGACTTCTGGGCTCTGGTCATCGACTGGGTGTGCATGGCCCATCCAACACTGGGACCAGGAGGGAGAATTAGGACCAGTGTGGAGAACCATCCAGCAACCCTTTAGCACAGGTTCATACACAGAACAAATGGAAAGCACAGGTTCACCATTGATGTTAACGTCAGCATTTTTCACCATCATCCTCACTGGGAGCACTCACCAGGGCAATGCACAAGAAAGGAGACTTGGAAGCAGGTACTGACTGATGTTAATTGAAAACAACAAGGGTGCTGGGATGCTCACAGTCCTGTACCCTTCCCAGTAAATATTGTTAACATGTGGGTCTTCACCTTGACTGTAGTAGGGGAATCCAGGCAGCTAGGGATGTTCCCAAAGTCACACTCAGAATTGGTGTTGAGTTTGCTGCCCATGGCATCTTACCATACTCCTTTTATTTTTGGAAGTTCATTCCTTTGAATCTTGAAAGAGATGGTTTGGGGCAGCTTGGGTAGGAAATCCATCTGGGTGAGGAGAAACTGAACCATCCTGACTGGTTACCACTGCCATTTCCTACCAGTCCCCACTCCTCTCCTTTGCCCTTGCACAGCCCAAAAGAGGTTGGCACCATATGGTCGCCTTAATGAGGCCCATTAAGTATAGCAGTTTCTGCTGCTGACCCCCTGAGGTTGGCTGCAGCTCTGTGATGTGCTTTAACCAATGAAATGTGGTGGGAGTGAAGCCTGTCACCACTAACAGAAAACTCTGGATGCACTGAGACTGGCCACCCTCTCTGCCCATCTCTGATAATGTCAACAGGTATCTACATGGTGGCTCCTCCTTTATGCCAGTCCCAAGAGAACCAGGGTGCACATGTGGTATGAACAGGAAAGATGCCTTCTTTAAGCTAAGCCACTAAAGCTTTGGGACTGCAGCAGCTGGCCCATCCCCATGGTTATGAAGTACCAACTCCACTCTCTAGGAGGCAGCAGAGCCTAACATTAGAAGCCAGACCTCTGTTGTTAGAGATACATGGGTTTGACTTCTAGCCTTGCCTTTTATTTACTCTACAATCAGGCAATCTACCCTGAGTCTCTGACCCTGGATTTCCTCCTATAAGACAGATGTTTAAACCATCTCAGGTTGGGGAGAGGATTAATGCCTGCAAAGCATTGAATCCAGGTCCTGTTACCTGTAGTAAACATTAAAACTCTTGGCTCCATAGCTTCACAATGTGTATTGTCTAAAAACATTCTAACAATGTACGGAATGTCCAATTTTTGTCTTTTTTATCTTTTCAAATTTTGTTTTTAAATAAATAGGATAGGATTATGTATATTCTCTCATAGCTTGCGTTTTCTCGTACTATTGTGATATTTTAATAAAATAAAAAATCAACCTCAATAGGTTGAGCATGATCCCATTCACAGAAAGGTTTCCAGTTCGACTCCCAGTGATGACACAAGTAAGTGGACATGCAAGCTCAGTCCTCAGTGTGGGGGCTTGCAGAGGCCATCTGACCGGTATTTCTCTCTTACTCTTTCACTTTGTCTCCCTTTAAAAGTCAATTAAAATATTACTCATATAAATCCATTGATATTTGTGGGCTTCAGGAATAATTGCAGTAATACTTTTACTTCAAGGAGCATTCTGAGCTTCACAGAATCTGAAATAATATCTCCAAACAAAAAGACAGTTTTATACAACACTCCCCTAACCACTGCCACCAGCCACTGAAACCTAACATTCTCAGTTCCCAGCATTACTCAGGCTGCCAAACAACAATATTCCCAGTTGTCAATGAGTGACTGTGAGAGATGTTAGTTTGACACACAGGGCAGGGGTCCAATGCAAAACAAAGGCAGGTGAACTTTTCCAGGGGCAGACA